ATCCCCCTTTACGACCTGCACTACTCTTCCTGGTGGTAACTAACCTTTCACAACCCTAAAATGCGACCCTCTTCCCAAAATCAGAAATGCGACCCCCTTGTGAGAATAGTGCGAACGGACGGTTGACCCTCTCCTCACTAAAAATCGGTTTTTTCTCAGGATGTGACTTTCCTCTAGCCAAGACGCCGCTACGTTCAGCTCTGCATGGCATAGTGAATAGTGAAGAAATAAAGGTCGAATAGGGCTAATCAGAGCCTTTTCAGATACCAAATCACTTCGATGACAACATCATCCTTCGTCAACTGCGATACACCGGTATGCTGGAGACGGTGCGAATCAGAAGAGCTGGCTACAGTGTGCGAATAGAGTGGGACGTGAGTGGACTTCGTAGCTCTCCATAGACTGTCAGGATGAAGCGATTCGACTGCTTTTTCCAGGCTTTTATCCAACAGTATCGTGTACTTCTTCCCAATGGTCTCAACAGTACGAGAGATGACGTGAAGAAGTTTCTCAGTACGCATCCTTCCATCGCTCCTGATAACGTTCAGTATGGTGTGAGCAAGGTGAGCACCGCGTCCAACCCTTTTGAGTTCCAAACTATGGAGGCATTTCTAGATCTACATGAGGGACGCTGACAAGCTGATCCTCGACGACCATCTTCACAGGGTGATCATGCAGCATATCGGTAAGTAGCCCTTCACGGATACCCGACAGGAGGCCCCTCGCGCGGCAAGAAGGCAGAGACGCAGACGGTCAGCGGACGAGTCGCAGCGCGTACTGTGTGCGATGTGGGACGTACTATAGTACATTCTATTCAACTTGACGCTAAATCGCTACAGTACGCGCTGCGACTCGTCCGCTGACCCGTCTGCGTCTCTGCCTTCTCGCCGCGCGACGGGCCTCCTGTCGGTACCCACCCATACTGGAGCGATGTCAGTTTCATGAACACAGGCACTTTACAGATACGTTACAACGTTGGTTCCGCACGATCATAGCCAGGAAACGCTATCTGCGACTGAAACAGGGCCTAGTGAAGATCCAGGTTACCTACTGCTTGCTTGGGTATATTTTTAATGCCAACGAGCTGTTGCTATTCAGGCACTGGTGAGAGGTGTGTTGGCGAGAAATCACTTACGACGGCAAGCCTATGCTGCCCTTGTCATCCAAAGCAACTGGAAACGGGTATACCATGAAAAGGTAGTAACTCTCTTCAGGCTCTGGTAACACAGTTTTCGTTTAGGTATCGCGAAGAGCATCGATATCGACTGTTGCGTGAGGCCGTCATTGCGCTTCAATCCGCGTTCAGGGGCCGTGAGGCTAGAAAGAGGTTCGTTTTTCTACACCACAGACTTTGGCCGGGATCCGACTGGTGGGAGTTGCGGATGGGGTTTGACGCCTGAGCGCTATTTCTGAATAGACTTCTTTAGCGCGCTAACGGGTGTAGTTGTTACGGCCTTTCGACCAGTCTCAACCATACTTTGCGCAGTTCCCAACGAGGGGGTCATCTTTGAGCTTTTTTGGAAGGGGGACGTCTTATCTAGGGTAGTGAAGGACAAAAAGTTAATGATTAAGGCTGCTCTTTTTGGAGCGGACGTTGAAGGTCAGGTGCGCACCAGATGGGGCGTGTTCGATGTTTTCGTGACAATGATGGTCGTACAGGAACAACGGTCAAATTGAGGGGGAACTCTGAAGGAGATTTTTCTGTTTTTTGCATGATCAGAGTGGGCTCATTTGAGCCACGCCTCTCGTCCTTTACTGAAACCCCTTACAGAATCTCGTAATCGCTGCATGAAAAATGGTCGATAGTATTTTTGTTATGAGGGAGACTTTGCCTGGCGGACGTTTGTGTTTCCAGGCTGTATGTGCTGTCAAAAAAAAACCTTTATTTAGGAATTGGACTATCTCGCAACGAGGCGGATCCGGGTAATTAAACGTGTTCAAGGCTGGGGGAAGTTCCTTATCATTCTCGACAATCTCACTCACTGGCTGTGTCAGTGTTAAGCGACGCCGACGATCTCGAAGCGTAAGCGTTGATATGTAGCAAAGCTCTGGATAGTCATTCCCTCCCCCTCTCCCGTCTATTACAAAGTAGTCATCCTGGAGCAACCTCAATTGAATTTTGTGGGTCATTTAGCGATCATTGGATGAGAAGTGGATAGCCGACTTAAAAAAGGATAAAAAAGATGAAGCAAAGAAACGTCCATTAGCCTAACAGGATTCCTAGTAATAAAGAAAGGGCGGGCGGCACGAGGCTGCGAGTTTCTCGTTCACGCTCATATAACGGCGCGGTGATTGATAGCCGCTTTAGCCGTATCATCCGCGTTGCGTGCATGGGCGGGACTGTGGCTGCCGTCCGTAATCGTCAAATGGTTTTACGATTAGTCATCCTAATGCGACTGTTGCAAAGCTTAGGCTTTGCCAGCGTCTCTCGAGCCGCGACGACACATCTGTGCTACTCGTGGGCTACTCTATCCCACCCACTGAATACAGCCCATATGTCGAAGTCTAGTTGGGCGTGTCTCCGGAACAGGGTCAACCCTACGTTGTTACTAGTAACAACGGGGGGCGTCGTACTTGTTGAGTTTGTAGGAGGGGGGTCGTACCCGTTTCAGTCGTTTGAAACCACATGTGAGTTTGAGGTGAAACTGTTGAAGGGCGTAGGAAAAAAGTTGCCGTTTCAGCGCGCGTATGAGGTGTGAAAGGGAGGCCTTATCAAGCCCCTTGGGGAGGGGGTCGTAAATTTATTTAGACAGTAACACGACAGTTACTCCTCCGAAACAACGTGGCAGGCACGCACTGGATAGAAGTCGCCAGGCGGATAAGTTCCGTTCCTGACTATTTCGCGGCGGAATCGAGAAAGGCCGAGCAGCTTTTCAACGCCTTTATCAAACTGCGGTGCTTGCACGGACATTTCCGGTGACCAACGCCCAATCAGATTTCCGGATATGGTGCTAGTACTTTCACCAACTTCGCTGTTGTTGTTAAAAGGAAGCGATCACGCTGGCTTCCACGCTGGATTTGCTACCCTCGCGTTATCAATCGATAAGGTGTGAGGCAGTAATTGTTGGACGAGTGTAAGCCCATGGAAGATATGATACGATGAGATAAGAAGGTGCGGCTGCTTGATAAGAGGTGCACTCCAGAATGAAAACGGGACGATAACGATAACGGTATCATATCTAGCACGCTCTTATCGCACCCCTTTCCACATCGATAAGTCTTGGTTTTTGCTGAACGGAAGTGGATTTCGGCGCCTTATCACTCCGTTGATAAGGCGCCACTGCCACTGAAACTTCACGTGTTGTAACACTGGGCAGGACCTCTATCCACTCCAATACACAGCTTCCCTTATCGTTCCTCATGAAAATTATCGACTACTTCCTAGAACGTAAAATTATCGAAGGCCCTGTTTAGCTAATATCGCTCGTAGACCTTCAAGGGCGCTCGAGACTAACGGTTCATTACATTGATGTTATGAAAGGTAGGCGGGACTTTGATATAATTACTTTATAACATCGAATTTTCATCTTTTTTTGGCAGTTGCGTATAAAATAGTCATGACGGGTATATATTACACGTTGTTCCAGCGATGAGGATGACGGTGAATCGACTCAAGATGGCTTGGACGAGGATGTCTCTGAGAGCAGCGTGCTGGGTGATATGTGAGCAATTTTGGCCCCAGTGGTTTTTTCAGCTGAATTTAACCTTTCATTTCCAGAGATGATGAGGCGATCGAACTGGACGCTAACGTTTATCCTCGGGCGGCACGAAATGAACTTATTGGAGTGAGTTTTTCGCGCGTATAATCAGGGCAGGCATCCTATTCAGGCTAAAGCCAGTGATTCAGAGATTGCACTTTGTGTAGGTTCTTATGAGTTGCAGAGATTCCTGTGACCTTGCCAGTCATCGTCGACAGTCCCTTGCTCCAACTGCTTCAACGGCAAAGTTTGAAGATGTTGAGAAGAGCGAACAGCACAGACAGTAACACGATGGTTCGTCCAGATGACAATTTCAAACCCCTTCAGGTGAAGTCCGGAAGATTCAGGAAGGCTTGTGTAATGCGGCAGCCCCCATTTCTCTTCAGCTTGGAGGTCCGCGGCCAAAGAAAAACGGGTAGCCGTAGGGCTTACAGAAAGCCAGAAGAAACTGGAAAGCGTTATTTGGTTCGAGAAGCGTTAGCTCACGAAGACGACGGCGGTCAACTGAGTTCAGCAAGGTTGCGGATTCTTTAGAATCCCTGTCTGAGGAGTGAATTTGCTGCTTGACGCGATTGACGGACAGCCGTTGGTGCTTGTGTTTCGGCCACTTTTTTTTGTCGGAATATTTTTCCTAATGGAATCCCCATCCTAGGGCGGATGTAGTGCAGTGGCCAAGTGCCGCTCACGCGAGCGTCCATGGATTCAGCCTTCCATCCCTCCGGGGTCGGTTAATTGGTACCAGACTTGTCTGGGAGGATAAAAAAACACTGACTTGTACATCGGCTGGCCCCCGCAAGTCATTGTATAGGCCACATCGCATTCAAACGCCACTACGAATGTACAAATGGAAGTAGAATGCGTGCCGCATCCCAAAAAGGGATTGATCAACGGCAAATGCTTTATCCTTTCTTCCTTATTTTTCCTAAAACGTCCTCTCTCCAATAATTCCGTTCCAAGTAAATAATGTTTTTTTTTCTGGATTTTGTAATGTAGGCCACAGGTAAGATAGCGTGAAAAGTTCCATAATTAGAGCAAACGAGTATATCGATGCAAGTGTTGCACGCGCATGACGACGCACACTGTCGTCAATGCGTAGGCTCATTACCAGCTTACTTCTTTATTATCGGCCAGTCGAAGAAAACCCTATTCAGAGTCTCGATCCGGAACTAACACTCAGTCATATTAAGCAACGACGATTATCTCTTCATCTGCCCAAACGGGACCCCCTCATAGTTCTCGCGAGTCAGTCGAAGGGCTGGTGCAGTGTTGATCGGAACATTTGACGGTTCTCACTCAAGTCTACCAAAGTGTACCCGTAGAGTGTCTTCAAAGCGGCGTCATGGGCGTTGGGGGGGGGGGCTGCAAGTATATGACATTCAACAGTCACGCTGCTGAGCTTCAGGAAGGAGAGGCTTTTGCGTGAGAGCCATGTAAAGAAATTTTTGTTCCTCCCTGGCGTCTGCACTCGATCTTTGCTAGCCCTAGTGTCACCTATCAACGGTTTTTGGATGCTCTGTTTTGAGAGCCGCGCCCCCCTCCCCCAAGAACGTGAGCGCTTCAAAAGCTTGTTCCTTTTAAACTGATCGTCTCGTTAGAGTTAAGCTTGCTCCCAAAGAAGTCTCTTTCGCGACGTCTCTTCCTGCGCCGACGAGGTTCAACTCACCACGACGAGCATGGGACATAGTGTAAGTAGTATCCGCCATGGTTCAACCTCCAAACCAACACTAGGCTCCCCAACGCTACTTATAGGAGCAAGCCGCGACCGTCAATGGTGAGTGAAACGAACTCAAATTTCTCGCGGTCGTTCAATCTGAACAAAACAAAACAACAGGTAAATGATGGATGACGAGCTAACACGTGGATGGGAGTGTGAAGGAAATATTTCAGACCGATCCGGGCAACATGATCGTCGAGTCGACGGAGGATCTGCGCCAGTTTAGCGTGTTCATATTCAAGAAACAGTCGAACCTGGACCAGAAGAAGAACAAAAGGGACACGGTTGTTGACGCTCTTTTCAAAAAAGCGCTGAGAGAATTCCACATGGAGCTCATCGGCTACGAAGCAGTGCTCAGCGTGAGTCTTTTCTGTATAGAACATTACTCGGCTCTCTACCAACCGTTTTCTCAGATGTTTCGAGAGGTGATGATGATGGGCATAATCGCGCCAATCAGTAATAGCTAGGTGATGTTAGGGGGGGGGGACAAACTTCCCTATAGGCTGAGTTTGTGGTTTGAAGGCAGCCTAATAGATCAAGGTAGAGGTGGTCAGTGATGTACAGAAAAGAAGAAAAAACCATGAGAAACGGCCCAGAACCCGAGAAATGGGACCCCTTCCTTGCCCGTTGATTTCCGCATTGATGCGACTCTCATCGTGCTGCCCTCTTCAACGCTAACGCTCTCTCTCTCTCTGCTGAACGGCTAGAGACCTGCGGCGAGTGGTTAGCCAGTCGGTGGGCGTGCCGCGCCGATAGCGCCGCGGGAGGGCCATGCTAGATCGCCGAGGCATATCCTTCGCTGCGAATTTCGTATTGGATCTTCAGCCCAGTCGTCGGTCGTGGCTTTTCTATTTCAGAGAATTTCTTCCTCGCTTAGGTTACACCCCTTTCTGGCTAAGACTTTCTAGCTAGTTCGAGCACTCTTCGGAGTCTATTCTTTTTTGGGCGCTTTTGTCCGACTCCACATCCTCTCCCAGAATCCCTTCCCCTCCCTAAGGCTTAGTTCCGAGTACTTTAAGTAGCTCACTCAGTTCAATGCCCCCTCCAAAGCGACACGAGCGCTTTCGTGTGTTCCATAATGTCCCATTCAGAATTCGAGTCAACGGCCGTATGCTATCCTTCCCCGAAGCTAGGTGATCCAAAGTTTCCTTTAAATTTATTTGTTTTGAACGATATAGTTTCTTCATTTTCAGTGCATGTTTACTTTTAACCTACATACATACATTAAATGTAGGCCCTTTATCAGGACAATCCCAGTTGGGAAGACAGAGAAAATTTAAAGGGATTTTCGTCCCCCAACCCCTTGGGGAGGATTGAATACGGCCCCTGGATGCGTCAAGGAACAGCGCGCCGCGCCGCCTCATGACCCCTTCAACTACGTTAGCACTGCCTCCCTTCCAGGACACATTTTCTAGGACACCTCATGCGAATTTGAGTTTACAGCTGTGGTTGGAAATTTCTGATCAACTCTGGGGGAAGGATAGCATGCGGCCTACAGCCTTAGTTCCCAAAGATTTCTTAATCAAGGAGATAATCAAGGAGAACACTTATTTTCATCGTATTTTTATCACGAACTCGAGTGAAAAAACATTTAAGGAAGAACGTGCTGTGCTGAAATACCGCGATTTGATCACAACCTTCGAAGGAGTGCTCACAAAGGTATGCAAGGAGGAGAAGGTGTCTTTCCCAACGACGTTGGGCGTAAATGCTTTCAGGTACATCTGGTTTTGATACGAGTCCCCAATATAGTCGTCACGCCAAATGAAATATTTTTAGAGGTTTTTTGAATGAGTTCATGCAAAATCAGAAGAAGAAAGGTTCAAAGCAGAAGTCGGGTATTATCAAGGTACGGTTTCGCGACGTTCGAGCCAGAAATCTTCCGTCTGATCAACAATTGTCGCTTTATCACGATCGATAACTTGGCTAAGCTAGTTTGCTATCGCTTCGGATGTAGTATGCATCTTGAATTTCTAGAGCGTCCGTAAGAAACGTCGACGTTCGGATGTGACCGTGGTGAGCATTCGCAGACACACCCTGACTGCTGCTAACTCCTTCTCATCACACCTCACTAACCGCATGCCTTCCTCACAATGCTCACCGAATCTTCCCCAGTCGTGCTCTGCTCTTCACATTCTCCGATTTGAGTGAGTAACTTAACTAGACGATGCAAATCGGTGCAAGCTGGTCGAAATTGGCTGTGGACTTGGTCAGCTCATATTTACAGCTGAGTAGTAGCACGCGCTTCCGCAGGCAGTACGACTTGAGCGTGTGTCTGAGTTCGTACTGACCAGTTAGCTGCCTATGCCAAGAGTTGTGGAAGGCTTTTGGGCATAAGCCGGCTCGAGGCATGGCAATGAGGCTGCTACCATGTGCCAACGGCCTTCAAAGACATGTCAAACGCTCATTCGAAAGACAGCTCACTTTACGATCAAGTTTGTGATCATCGACAGTTATAGGTTGAAGAATCTTCCGCGGAAAGCTTCGCCTCCATTACCTCAGAAAAACGATACCCCTATAGGCCCCTAGCCTCATGAGCATAACAAAAGAACATCACTCTTTCCATGGAAGATTCCTTTAAGGTATCGTTTTCCGTGGTAATGAGGGCGGAGCTTTTCCGTGGAAGATTCACTTTCTAGCACTGACCCTTTCACACTTCTGTGAACCCAAAGATAGCTAGTGAGAGAATTCCGTGTGTTCTAACGGCAGCTTCTGTCTTAATTTGTGGGGTTTGCTAACGTGGTTCAGGAGACCACGCGGTGGCGCGACGCTTTGTTCGTCTGCGCGCCTCCAGGACTTATTTTCAGCCTGCGCTGCCACTGTATTTCAACCCGTTGGCCTCCAGGGCAACGTAAAACGGCATCTATGACCTAACAATAAGCCTTTGGGCAGAGGCAGCACGAACAGACGCCGCGTCGCCGCGTGCCCCCCCCCCCTACTCCAACTACGCTAGCAACAGTGAGCTTCTGAGAGATGCAACGTGCAGGAAATCTGATAGAACAGCCTAGACTCCGCAGATCCGCAGAGACCCTTGTGTTGCTTAGATCTTCATTGGGCGAGGTTCATCAACGCTGACGTCATCCACCTGAACGGTTTGCTCTGGCTCTCTGCCAAGTGGATGAGGGTCCGACTACGAAAGATCGGCAGCTGGCGTAACCAATGGGGGGGGGGCTGGACCACTCTGCCTAGGCAAGTTCACTCCGCTTCACGAAGCACTCCCTGATAGGCTCCTACGGGCGCACCCGTTATTGCAGCAGCGAATGCTACTCGTCGAGCTCAGCCAGGGTACTGCCTCACTTCATGGTGTAGATGATTCCTCGTTCTTCGGTATTCGGTTTTTCGCTCTGTTGACTATACGCGTCCGAGTAAAACTCTGCATCCACAATAAGTTGTCCTACGAGCGTATTTAATCATAGTCGGTATATTCGCCAGGTATCCTGCTCATCATTTTTTCAGAAGTGAACAGGTTTCGCCAGCTCCATTTAATCCGGTGACGCGAAGTCGCGAACGGTTAGTGAGTTTAGGTAAACCTTTGGGTTACTGTATTTAGTCTCTGGGTACGAGTTCGGCCACCGAATCCATGACGATTACCCCCGATTATCTCTTTCGCAAGACGAGGAAGCCGCCTGAGAGCAGGATCCACAACACCACAAGTGAGCGATGGTCGAAGGAAACAAGATATTGGATTTCTTTGGCACGGCGTGCCGCTGTTTCACTGACGCTTTTCTCGCTCTTCGAAAAATGGCAGAGTATAATAGTAAGGATCCAAGTAATTCGTAGAAAGAATCGCCTGCTCACATTATCGTTCTGCTGTCTTTGTGAAGGAACAGAACATGGTTGCATGCTGAATCCAGAGCGGATTTGCACTGTGTGTTTTTCTTTCTTGTTTGCCGTCAACTAGATGACTTCAGGTAGCAGTAGAATTCCCTTAGACAGAAGTGCTAACGCAGCTGAAATCGTGTTGTCCTGGTTTCAGGTACACGCTGGACAGTCGTTTAGGCGACTGGTACATGTGCCCAACCTACTGCGGTTGTAACTCAGTTCCTAGTGGATGCCGCGAAGATATTCATATGCATGGCCTGTCCGCAGCTTTCGTGCACAAAATGCAATGCAAAAAATAACTCCCAGCCCACATGCTCGATGCTGATCTAGCGCCCGCAGCTGAGCAGACGGGGTGAAGTGTTCAAAGGAAGTCTTGCATATACGGCCTTTAGGAGTGCTGTTCACTTTCCAGTCTGGAGGACGATTCTTTTGGAGCAGTGCTGGCCAGTCTGGTAGATGAAGACCACATCATTCCTCCGCTTGTCGATCGACTTTTTATGAATGTTGAGACAAAGATTGTTCGTCGAAACGTCGTCCTTATGGGGCCGGTTCGGAGTTTTACCCTAGTCATTCACTGAATCCGTGATCCTCCAATCATACACGGACCTTTCAGAAAAAGTGGATCCTTAGCACAAGTGCGAAGTATACGACGGATCATAGAAACAGCGCCAGGTAATTACTGTTTACAAATAAAGGAATTTTGCAACTTACTTAAATACTCGCTTTGCCGAATTTGTCTTCAAGCAGGGCGGCTGGGCACTTTGCACTTTTAAATCTATGAAGTTCTTTGCAGTGTTTTTCAAGCGATGAACTTCTAGATTTCGACTCTGTTTCTTTGGAAGACGTACAAGTGCATGTGTTGACCACGCTCGTGAAAGCATTCCTCAGAGAAATGCCTGAACCGCTGATCACATTCGACCTCTACGAAAACTTCCTCAACGTTTCTGGTAAGTATAAACCGCGAAGTTCTTGTTACGGTTTCCAACTCGCTCAGAAGTGTGTGTCTGTATTCTTATAACACGGCATATTCTGTTGCAGTATTTTCAAAGTAGCTCAGCTAAGGCAACAAATTAGTAACACTACCGGGTGCAGGGCGCGATCCTTTCGCTATCATTGAGCTACGACGTCTCTCTTCCTTGAGCCACGGAAGCTCTTTAGACCGTCCGAGGCTTCAAGGATATTTCTTTCTAGCCACTTAGGTTCTCCTCACTCTAGGCCACTAAAGCTGTTTCTCTCTCTCTGACGAGCCACTGAAGCCCCTATCAGCCGAACGACACAAAGGCTGTCTCTATTGAACCTACGACCTCCCTCACCTGATTAGCATCCGCTCGGCACAACACAGATGCCTGAAACCACCTGGAACAACTGGGTCGTCTGGAACCATTGCAACTCCAGCTTTGCGTCCCGACCCCTTTTATTGGAACCTTTCCTCGAAAATAGTCCTCCTCCGGCAAGGTGATCTCTCATGACGTCCCGCGATCAGCAACTACCGCCTCCTCCTCAACCTACAGTCGATGAACTCTTAATATGGCTCAGGACCTTCTCCTTTGACAATCATATCCATCCTGAGGTTCATGATTTCTCTACGGGATCAAGGCACTCCAGAGGGCAAAAAATACTACAGCAAAGAAAGTTGCAGTAAAACAAAATCGGGCACTATCGCAAAGTACGGGGGCATCCTCTAGGACTGAGCCCAGGAAGGGGCACGAAAATTGCTCACACACCCTGGATTCCTCCACACCTAAGGCTTAGTTCCATTTCTGACAAAAGGAAATTGTTTAATGCGGTTTCGAATGCATTGTCACCACAATGCCCCCGTATATTGCGATAGCGCCGAAGGTGTCTCTGTCTCATTGGTTTTCTCGATGCTTTCAAAAGCCTTAGCATCCTGAGATTTGATCATTTTTCAGAAGTTGACGATGGAATGGAGCGCGGAAGGTGTCTGGCGGTGATGATCGATCTGCTTCCGAAGACCGAACCGTGGCCTGCTCGATCGGTTAATGTTCCACTTAGCCAGAGTGGCTCATCAGGTACGATTTCTGACGAATGCATAGAGAATAGTGGTACTAATCTGCCGATTTTAGGAAGCGGTCAATAAAATGGGACCATCGAACCTTGCCCTTATCTTCGGCCCATGTATACTGAGGAGGCAGGACAATGTGCACGCTCAGGTACTGTACATTATTTCGTTCTCGTGAACGGTATCGAAAAATTAGTACCTTGAAGGTAAACGAATTTGGGAATTTTCAGGAGCAGCTCAATGACGTCACAAGGCAAGCGATTTGTGTTCAAACTCTGATTGAGGAGAAACTAAGGCAGTACAAAGCGACTCTCATTAACATCGTCGAGTTGGAGGATGCCAGTCAGAAGGTCCGAATCGCCTCACCATAGTCAATTTGTTTCGTGGAGTATCCAAGATAGGGAGGATAGAGCTGGCAGAGGAGTGGAACCTCGTAAAGTCTCTTTTCACTGGACAAGCACTGATCCCGGGCGAGCGAACAGGGGGGGGGTTGAGTGGGGGGAGAGGCTCAGGATGTGTAGCTATTCTTATTTCCGTTCGAAATTTGCAATAGTTCAATGACTTTGGGCTACGGAATGCCCGTAATGCTTTGCAAAGCTTTTTCGTTTTTCTAATATAAGCACATCCCAACAAGAAAAGAAAGAGTTTCCGATTGGAAGACATCATTACAAATCAAGATAGAGATGGTCAGTGGTGCAGGTATAGAGAAGAAACCATGAGAAAGAGCCGAGAATCTGAAAAGTGGACCTTTCTAGGCCGTTTGATTCTCAGCAGCTTCAATCGGTGTTACGTCTCCTATCGACTAGTCTCTGCTCTGGCTAAGTGTTTAGAGCCCAGACGGCGAGGGTGGGCGTGCGCGCGCGAGGTGAAGAGCTAACTCTGCTAGGCTGCGATGGCATATTCTTAATGCTACCACGCGCTCCATTCTGTACCTTACGTAGCGCCTGGCTTTTCGACTAACCATATTTTCTTACTTGAATTCCGACCACGGGTGGATAGCACATCGAGAAATTCTCAACCATGGCTCTGCGCTGTGTGGGATAGTTCGCGGAGAGTGAATTGGAGCGCGGTAGGCACGATGCTCGCACGTGGTGAGAGTAAATGTGCGCGCATGGGAGAGCGTAGCTGAAACAAGCGAAAAATTCCAAACGGCGTCGAGAACCCTGCCGATCGAGTTTTCACACCTGTCTCCGACGTTATAATTGTGAAATCCGTTTTAACCTTTGGCAATTTTCGCTGGGTCCTCGTAAAAGCCAAGGTTGAGCATGAGTTTAGAAACTATTCGAGGTCATTCTATATGCTATCTGATCATTGACGCATTTGAAAAGCGGAACTAAGTCGGATACGTGGCGTATTCTGACAGCGTTGATCAGCACCGATCTGTTTATTTTTCTTCCCTTGCGGTCATTTTCATGTTCTCCGTGTCTTCATCACGCTCATCCTTGATCATATGTTGTTTAGGTTAGGCAAATCGCGTCGAATAGAGAGGCATCAACACAGTGGACGAACGGCGTGGAAGAACTGAACAGCCAAGCGTCTCGAGACACAACTGAATTCCTTGCAAGAACAAGTAAGTACGTATGCTGGCTACTCTTGAGAGTGACCATCGCACATTCTGATCATTTCAGGTAACGGCTCGCCTGCAAAGAAGTTGCCTCGTCTGGCGCCGGTCGCCTGCTTCGAAGATCTCTCCTCTGGACGACAACACTCTCAGGTAATTTTGGTCCCTTATTTTGGTATTGTTCTAGCTGTACAATCAAACTCGTTTCAGGTATTACCCGGGAGGAATATGCGATTGACATGGATGCACCACCTGTATTCGGAGTGCTCTACCACGCATGCAAATACCGAGCACCTCCTCCGAAGGGCAGACGATACCCGTCAAGGTTTCGACGTCCTCCGGCTGGTAGTTTTCTAACTCCTTACCTGATTAGGGTAAGTCGGCTCATTGTTCACATGTGATCAAAGACTATAAAGAATAAAATAACTATATATCGGCAATCGAGCACAACGTGCAATGACCACACAGCCCAGTGGTAAGCTGCAAATTTGAAAACTAGGGAATCTGTAATTGCATGTACTCGTACTGCGCAGAGTAGGGAACGGGAATGTACCCTACTCTCTGCTTTTCAAGGACAAGGTCTCTAAGCCTTTTGAGGGAAGAAAGAAAACAGATCGCTGTAGCTATAGTACGAGAGTGTAGAAGATATACTACAAAGACACTGATCACCAACTATTGGTCGATTCGACTTGCGAATCGCGCGATATCGCTAGCGATCTGGGTCGCTCGCGCAAGATGAAATCACTTCATGGTTGGCTTTTACGCCACGCAACGGCGGATGCAAGGTCTGACATCGCCTTTGGTTGACGCTGCCCTCGGCACTTTTTGGCAGAGCACACCACTAACTAGCACATGCTTGCTTTCTTCTCCACATGGATTCCGTCTTTGACTCGGGGTTGCCTTCTAATGAGATGTTTCTGTGTTGGAATCTCATGCAAGCTCACTGACAATGACTTTCTGGTTGCTCATTCATTTATTGAACGTTCAATATCATTCATTCAATCTTGCAAAGACTTTGTTTTACAAAAAATGGTATGTGTACAATGAATGGCAACGTTTGCTGTCGAGTTGTAATTGAGATGATTGACAAAATTTTGGAAATAATTAGTGAGTGCATACTGTCGAGAGAGGTTAGTACCAAGGCTAGCGCTAAAAGTAGAAACGAGCAAACGAGTGATGCAGTTGATCGAGTGATGAATTTCTGAAAAGCCATAAATCATCGAGGATTTTGCACAAATTTGAGGACCGTTTGGAAGGATGCGAGACAAGAGTCCTCCCTGAGGTCGCCGCGCAAGCGAAAGTAGGTCACCGCACGCGGCGGCTACCGTATCCAGGTCCTTGAAGTTTGAAACGTGGCAATTTGCTAGGACTAAGCTAAAACAAATGCAGAAATGGGGCCTACACAGACGGAGCAAAAAAGCGTTGTATCGACAGGTTAGAGAGGACGGTCTGAGACATGGCGAATTCGCGCATGCTTCAATCTTGCCAAAACGCCGCCCGGACGTCGGCGCGGTTTAAAAACGTTTTAGCGCGGCGGTCGTGGGGAGTGATTGACGCCTCGATGTCTAAAACCCGTAAATAGAAGATAATGAAGCATTGAATTGACAGGGTGAGAGGCGCTGCGTCGAGTTGGCGATATTGCGGCACCTCAAACTTTTTCTTCGTCACGGTCGTGCTTCGTTTTCGACTCTCCGAGCCCTTCGTCTTCTTCATGTTAGATTTTTTACCCCTTGTGTTCTTGTCCGTGTCATCGCTGTCGTCAGATCCCGTGTTCTTGTTATCTGACGACGTTTCTTCCTGAAAATACCCAATCATCCATAAATAATAGTCAGTCATTAAGAAAACGGCGCTCATATCCTTAGGAGGGGGGGGGGGGCACAAACCGCTGTAGGTGAGCGTATTGAGGCTAAGATGGGGAGGAATTACAGGGAGACAAATTTATTATCTCTCTTCAGAATCCGGTTCTCTCCTGAGCTTAGCCCCTAGATAACTGTTTTGGCCGATGTCAAGGCTTTGCGAATCGAGCAACTCACAAGCCGGCCAGCGAATCGCTCGATTGGCTGGTACCGCAACAGCGACCGCAGGCTAGCGAATCGCTCGATTCGCAAAGTCTGACATCGCCTGAGTAGCTCAAAATGTCCGCCCCCCTCCTCTTACGATCAGGGTCAAGCGTGCGTTGAGGAATCCTCGACACGTCACAGAGGGGGGGGGGGTCGTATTGGCCCGCTGGGAGGAAGAGATCGGGCCAGATTGATGCAGTAGGATCATCACCGTCGGAGGACAAACATCTCGGCGCTTATATCGTAAGTTACGATATAAGCGCCGAGAAAACTCGCAGCGAGACGAAAGCTCTTACATCTGTTATTGGACCTTCTCTGTTCGCTCTGCCTACCCAATCCAATTTTTTATCCATGTCAATCCGGTTCTCCTTTGCTATGGACTTCAGCGAATGTGTCATGTAGCTGAATGACGATTATAATACCGTAAAATTTATATACTTGCTGAGTTCCTATGAACTTAAAGGCACAGCCCACGATCAAATTGGTGCCATAGTTTCGCTCCAATATGAAGAGAGTATTGAAGAAAAAAGTGTATAATTCCTTGTTCCCATAGAAAGTAAGAACCTTCTCTGTTCTGGACAGTCAGGGATCCTGGGAGGGAGCAGACACATGACACTACGGGACACTGCGCCGAAAAGGAAAACAGATTTGGGTGCTGACTTAGTTTGGGGGGGGGGGCACACGTGGGCGCGATGCTCTGTTCGTCTGTATCTCTAAGGGTGAGTCTGCGGGGCCCGTGCAAAGCTGGCAGGGGCGGAGTTTGCGAGGGGGATGTTTTTCTATGATCAGAAGAAGCTCTCGGCGCCTTCGCGAGCAGTTTTGAGCCACCAGAGTATCACATGTACGACCTTGGCAGGCATCTCTGTATTACCCATCAAAGGAATTGGTCCAGCTGAATTAATCGTGGGATGTACTTTTAGGAGAAAACGATCACTTACATATAATCGGGTTCTTCGGCGAATGACATTCCATTTATATACTCTACGATCCGCTTGAATTCACTCGGAACTATCTGGTAGCACCTTGGAACTGCAATTTTTATATTCACCAATTTTTAGTGATATGCGTGGTCACATTATGGTGTCAACTAGCAGGCTCACGGGTGCTAGTTGGAGGGGGGGGGGCACGCGGCGGCGCGGCGCTCTGTTCGTCTGCTCCTCCAAGGCTTAGTCCCCGATGGCGCGTATTTCGAAACTGCCACGTGATGGCGAAATAGTAACTGCCCCTGGGACTAAGCCTTGGAGGAGCAGACGAACAGAGCGCCGCGCCGCCGCGTGGTCCCCCCCCCCAACTAAGTAAGCACCGGCTCACGTTGCTTCGGTGCGCAAATGGCTTGGTTAGACACGACCTACCGTCGCGCTTTCATGTCAAGGTAAAAAGATAATCTTGTGCATTCAACACCGTTTTTTACAACGTATTTTCAAAAAAAAATCATACCCGATTTATTGCCTTAGTTTGGTCAGGAATGCAAATCCAATTCATTTTAATCACTCTTGATTTCGTGCTCACCATCAGGTGGATGTCAAACTCGGCGGTTGTGCAGCAAAGTGTAAGCGCCGCGATTTCGACGCGACGCCAGAATCACGAGCGTGGAGGGCGCTCAGTGCGAATCATTCGGATCAATAACGACACGTCGCCGTCGGCGTCGCACAATCGCCAAGTCTGACATCCACCTCAAGGATGTGAAAGGGAAAGAAGAGGGGGAGGGGAAAGCATTACTCAAAAGTCCTTCATCTAGGGCGTCCTATTCGGCTTCGGACTATTCTACTATCACGTGAGCGAGGGGCGCAGCCTGCCTGCACCGCGACAATGTGCGCCTTTCGATCCAACACGCCCTAACTGGCTGAAAAGTGTTCGACTTTTGAATCTATTGCCGAAAATCCTTGGTGCTAACTTAGTTGGGGGGGGCCACGCGGCGGCGCGGCAGTCTGCTCACCTGGGCTCTCTCGAGCGAGACAGTGTAAACTCGAACATTCCAGCTTTTCACGCATGTCAAGTGACTGCCCCCCCCCCCCCCACCCCCTAGACTGCCTACACTCCCCCTGGCCCACGGATTTCCGAACATGCCAGGCGAGCAGACTGCCGCGCCGCCGCGTGCCCCCCCCCCCCCCAACTAAGTTAGCACCCGAATCTTACGGTGGCCGTACGTATCTTTTTCAAAGGCAAGGTCCGGGTTCAGCCTCATTGAAGTAGTCACCCCTATGGTTAGAGGTGTGTGGTCCGTCACTGCAGAGATCGCGCCACTTGGCACATGATTGTTGGCTGCTCTGTTATTGAAATCTTTCTCTACATGAAATTCGCCGAATCGAACCGCAGTTGTCCTTCAAAGTGGTGTATCTCGCTCCCCTATGGTTAGCTGTGTGTTGCAGACCTTCTAGAGGGCGAAACTCTAGCAAACGAGAGCCTGTTGGCTAAAAATGCTGTCTATAAAGATGCTGCGTACATTGGAATCGGAAGAACTTCTCTTTGTAAACAACGACTTGACTGCGATCCGGTATTCGTTTCCACGGCAATCCGCATTCATCGTCCAGTAAATCAAATACCTGAAAAATTTGAATGGAACTGAAGTAAAATATGCCTTTATATCTTATTTCGCATGGAACTTTTGCTTCTGACTTCACATAGACAAACAATCTTCCAGTCTGTATACTGTATGCCTTCATGAGTTCACTCAAGGAGACTTTCGTCCCTGTCACCAATCCTTTCATTTCTGAGCAGTGACCGTTAGCCCTTAAGCGACATGGAGGGCCATGGTGAGTTATTGAGCGTATTACGAACAATGTCGAGTTTACCGATGAAAATGGACTTGACACGCGGGTATTTGGCAGTACTTGAGCGCTCAGTGCCGCTTTGCCAATAAACGGGCACACAATTGCATGAACTGGAGATTCTAAACCATCTCTTTGGGAATCTAAAGGCACGGGTTGGGATCGAATTGGTCT